GGTGTTGATTTTTTGCATGCAGTTCTTTCGAGGTAACTTTTCTTTTTTTTTCTTTTTCTTTTTTTTTTTTTTTTTTTTCTTTTTTGTGGACCATTTCTCGATTTATGCACGTCATCCTTGAAAGCCCAGGGGCCCAACAAGTCCCACTTGCCGGAATTGTGCATTTCTGACCATAGATGATGCCCATCAATGGCCGGAAATGAAGGATACTGTCAAGTGGGACTTGGCCCCAGGGGCCATGCTAATCTTCATTCATTCTCTGTATTGTTCCAATTTTAACGGATGTCCCAAAGGACCTAACTTTTTTTTTTTTTTTAATTTTTTTTACCCAGCTTCAGGTGGATTCTTCTTGGAAAAGTATAGTAGCAGTAGCAGGAATTGTGGGCAATAGATCCAGTTTCCACTCGTTTTTTGTTTGTGCTTTAGCCGAAGCTGGGTGATGATGACCCCAGTACTTATGGGTTTCATTGTGAGGTCCCCGGCCTTGATCCTACAGAATGTTGTAAAGAAATTCTTCCATGCTTTCCGAAATAAAAAAAAGAAAAGAAAAAAAAAAAGTTAAATGTATACAAGCCAGGATTCGGGTCCGGTAGGGTCACGTTGGGGGGGGTTGGGGGGGGGGGCGCGGGGAGGAGGGGAATACGTTCGGGGGAATGATTGAAGTACATTTAGAAGTCGAAAACGTGACTGCGCCGTAGTCATCTCTTTAAAAAAAAAAAAAAAAAAAAAAAAAAAAAAAAAAAGAGGATAGACTAAGGGGAGTGTTGGAGTGGATAACCAAAACTTTATTGCCAACCGCCCATTTATCGAAGCTCATACCTTAATACGTATATATAAAATTATAAAAAAAACAGACGTATATATATACGATATACTCCTTTGACCAGGTAAGTTGGCATCAAGGTGAAGCGATTTGGACAAACGAAAATTCAATTGGACAATCATCAAACCGAATTGGTCAGTTCGATTTTCCTATCTAGTACATTATCGGAACCTATTTGGACAGCCGATATAGGTTGCTATAAGTGATGAGCATTTTGGACATATCAGATTTAGGCGGGGAGAAACGATGAGCATTTTGGAGATACTGGATATAGGTTGGGATACATGATGACCATTTTGGACACAATGATTTAACAGTTTGGACGCATGACAGAGTTACTAGGCAGATTGATTTAACAAATTAGTACTGCCAATCCCACATTTAGTTCAACAGTCTAACCGATTTGAGATTCTGCGCACACCATCGGGACCAACAAAGATATCAATTTTAATTTGTGGAATCGATTTTGCATGTTACTCACATGCGTCTGAATCACGGGCCTGCAGCTCCCGTAAACTATCGACCCAGGTGGACGTGCGCAGCACACACGTGAGTGCCGCACCATTTTCTGTGGAGCCCACCACCAATTTATGCGCTCGTCAGTCTAAATCGTTCGGTCCTTTGACGAAAGGCACCGGGCGGGCCTGTTCAAGTTTCTTGAATACCTCCTGTCCATATCGATTCACAAGGTGTCCGATTTCTGATTCTAATCTACGGTTCCAAGAAGCTTCTACAAAAATCTAAAACGTTTTAGATTGCACGCCCGATTCCAATCTACCGGTCCATCCAAGAAGCTTCCACCGAATTCAAAATCGGTTCGCCGTTTCTCTAACTTAGGCGCGTTCACCTAATTTGATTTAAAAAAATCCAATACGGTATTGTTTTTGGCGAGAACCGGGTAGGGGCTGCCCATATCGGTTCACGATATGTCCAAATAGCGGCAGTATGCAGCTAACTTACCTGGTCAAATTCCACTAAATTGATATCTCTGTTGTTCCCGATGATGGTGTGCCCAGAATCTCAAATCGGTTGACTGTTGAACTAAAGTGTGGGATTGGCAATACTAATTTGTTAAAACAATCTGCCTAGTAACTCTTTCATGCGTCCAAACTGTTAAATCATTCTGTCCAAAATGGTCATCATGTATGCCAACCTAATATCCAGTATGTCCAAAATGCTAATCGTTTCTCCCAACCTAAATCTGATATGTCCAAAATGCTCATCACTTATCCCAACCTATATCGGCTGTCCAAATCGGTTCCGATAATGTCCTAGTTAGGAAAATCGAACTGACCAATTCGGTTTGATGATTGTCCAATTGAATTTTCGTTTGTCCAAATCGCTTCACCTTGATCCCAACTTACCTGGTCAAAGGAATATCCTGCTGCTAGTGGAATCGTATCCTCGGTACGCGTAGTCTCTCGCAGTCTGTCAAGAGAAGAGAGGCATTGTACTGACTAAACCTGGGAGCAACATGACAACTTCCCAGAAACACGCACGTGGCGCCACGCCAATGAAGAAAAGACGTTATCATGCCGTATGTCCCTCTCTCTCTCTCTCTCTCTCTCTCTCTCTCTCTCTCTCTCTCTCTCTCTCTCT